TGATTTTTTGGCCTAAATTTTGTGAGTTTAAGAGCATTCAAACAAAACAAAAGATTTGTCATGGTATTAGACGAGGACAATTGTATTACTTGGATTTAAAGTCAAAAAGCTCTTCCATATTACAGTAGGCTTTGAAGGTTGATTACTCTAAAAGGGATAAACAAAAATTTGATATTTGGTTATGGCATTGACGCCTCGGACATGCTTCGTTCGATTACTTGAAGACACTTTTTCCAAGTTTGTTTGAAAAAAATGATATCAGTAACTTCCGTTATGACATTTGTGAACTATCAAAAAGCCATCAAGTCCCGTTTCCAATAACATTAAACAAAAGTCTAAGTCCTTTTATGCTTATACATTTGGATGTATGGGGGCCATCAAAAGTTACTACTTTAGATGGATCTCGCTGGTTTGTTACTTTTATTGATGATTGTTATTAGAGTCATGAAAGTGACTATATTTTGATGATAAAAAGACCTTATGTTTAATTAAATTGAAATTATATTGAGATAATTAAAGAAATTATGGAATTATTAATGGAAAATCACATTTTAATTTTTCCTTACACTTTGTGCATGTTTGGAATGATTTTTGAGATGTTGTGAGTCAATATTAGGTTATGATTTATTGATTAAGTTTGAATTTGTCTCATTTATTTTGTTTAGAGGGTAAATTGTTATATTTTTGGGGTTGATTTTGTCAATTTTCATTCATCTAGGGACTGAACTAAAGCTTGCCAGACTTAGTATAAAAGAAAATGAATAGTTCTAGAATACGAAGCGCCGCTCACCCCAAACCCCAGCTCTACCATCAGCGACCCTACTCCCATTTTTAGTGACTCCCTAACTTCCCCTTGCACCGATCTCCACCATCCACCAACCTCCGCTGCTACACGACGCTTCACCTTCCCTCACCGGTGACATTTCAGCTTCCAGTGGCTTTTTCTCCATTTTTCGATGACGGTTCATCTATCCAGGAGCTGACGCACATTCTTCAAGGTTTGATCTATCCTTTCCAAGCTTCAATTGTCGCCAAACTTGTCAGAATCACATTGCCTCCACCACGCCTCTTCAACTTCCCGACGCATTTTTGCTCCCTTTACGAGGATGTTGCACCTCCCCAACTACCAATCCTCACTCCCTAGCTCGAGAGATTTCTTCCCATACACTTGGATCTCCATTCTACCACCACTCGCCAAGAACCACTGCTGAACACTTACGTTTTTCAACAAGCTGCGCCCCTTCATCTTCTGGGTACTTTCAGCGTCTTCTCTAGCCACGAAGCACACCATCTCGTTGGCAGTTACATCCTTTTCACCATGACCAGCCCCATTTTTGACTTTTTAGCCTTCGTCAACACCACCATGAGCGATTGAGCTCCTGATTGTCTGTTACGGTATAGGTGAGATCAAGATTGACATCCACGACTGTTCTCAAGATCTCTCAACTAGTTGGATGAACCCAATCGTTGGACATTTGGTTTAGTATTATGTATCGAATTATATTTGTTTTCGTTTCATGTTTGATTACGATACTTTAATATAGTTTCATGCATGATTTGTGATTATTGGTGTTGTCCATTAAGATTAGTTGTTGATATAAAACCTATTGCATGATAAATGTTCGTTTGAGATAATTAAATGTTGAGTATTGCTTTAAATTACTTCACATCGATTGTAATCGAGTTATATTCGCATTTAATGCCATTTCTACTTTTGTTGCATTGCTTATGTAGTTGGTTGATTGTATGATAAATGTTGATAAATTGTATTTGTTAATCGCGTACCAACTAGTGGTATTATCGTGCAGTGTTGTCGGTATTCAATGATAGTCTTTAACCAATCGAACTTGAGTGATAGGGTGAGACAGGATAGATTATACCTAGAGTGTCAGAAAGCGATTTCATTGGTATACCTTGCCTTCTAGGTTTAGGGGATCATAGAGTATGAAGGAAAATTATGTGAGTTGGTCTCGTGTTGAACAAAAACCGTAGCAACAACGTTTTTATTATAAAGTCTTAATTCATTTTAATTTCAAGCTTTTATTATTTGCTTTTAGTTTTAACCAATCACTTTGCCATCTTATGTTTGCTTACTCAAATATGCATTAGGTTGTTAGTCTTTGTTCCCTATGGATTCAACCACCCTGCTTACCACCAACTACGGTAGTTAGAATTAATTTTGTAGTCGTGATGACTAGTTCAACAAAATTTTGGTGCCGTTGCGAGGGAAGAACATGCTTTTGATCTTGTGTGGTTTTGAGTTGTGATTTGTTCTTTTTACTTTAAGTTTTTTGCATTTTTATTTTATTTTATTTTACGTCATTTCCTTTTCATCTTAGTTTCAATCGAATAGATTCATTCGTGTTTATTTTGTGTTTGCCAGAAGTCTGCAATTGGGGAAACACTGCAGTGTGTCGTGTGAAGCGAAGTGTTGGCGTGAACCGATTGTGAAGTTCTTTCATCTTTTTAGTTTTGGTTAATCACTTGTGTGGTTGATTGCATGTTTATACTATTAGTTAGTAATTGTTAGTTTTCCTATTGTCTTGGCATATTTGTTTTTATTCCTAAGATTTAATTTTGTTCTTAGTATTTATTTCTTTTAGGTTGCATTGATAGCTTTAGTTTTGATTTGCTGGGTAAATTTTTATTAAATTTTAGATTTGTTTTAGTTTTGTTTTGTGTGTTTATTGAATTTGCTTCTTAAGGTTTGCATTTAGTTATTTTTCTTTGAAATTGTTGTTACAGTTGCTTGTTGAGCCTCTTTATGTTTGATTGATGAATGCAAACTAGAATGTCTTGTAATGAAGAGTTATTACCATTGAATCTTGAAATTGAACGCACTTGTAAGAGGAATAGAAAACAAGCATATAGGATGGTTGACCAAGATGCACCCGCACATGTACCCCTTAGCCAACATTTCGCACCCACCACCTACACTTCAGCCTCATGTATCTGTATTCCCAACGTCCAGACACGACACTATAAGATCAAAACTAGTGTCATCCAATTGTTGCCAATTTATTATAGGAATTTAAATGAGGAGCCATATAAACACTTAGATGAATTTTTAGAGGTTTGCTCCACAGTTAGACTTCAAAATGTGAATGAGGATGTCAAGCACTTAATTTTATTCCCATTCTCACTTAAGGATCGAACCAAACAGTGGCAATTCTTTGGCAGTAGGGTCCATTACCTCTTAAGCCCAAATGCAACAAGGATTCCTCAAAAAGTATTATCCCATTGCTAAAACCAACAATATAAGACGAGTAATCATTAGTTTCACTCAACTAGATGGTGAGGAATTTTATGAGAGTTGGGAACGTTTGAAGGAAATGCTTAGGAAGTGTCCCCATCACACAGTCCTTAAGTGGCAATTAGTTCATAGTTTTTATGACGAACTGACTGAGAGGCATAGGAATATGGTAGACCCTTTTGTGGAGGAACATTTATACATAAGGATGAGAATGAGTTATGGCAACTCTTTGAGACCTTAAGTGAAAATTCAATGCACTATATTTCGCATCTAGAATGCTTATCTCAAGGTAGCCATCCAAGAAGGGTGGCGTGTATAAGGTGTCACGGTTAGATGACATTAGTTCCAAGCTAGAGGTGTTGGCCCACTGGTTTGACAAGTTTATATCTATGCAAAGGTAGCCCTATACATAATCACCTGAGAATAGGGCGAACCGATATGTTTTTGCCATGCATTCCACTTTTGACCATCCAATTGAGGAACCCATCCTCAACCCTTTAGAGGAGCAAGTGCAGGTTGCATAAGACTTCCAAAGATGGAACGATTAATACTCAAACACGTACAATCTTGGGTGGCGTAATCACCCTAATTTTTCATGGAAGCCATAACCACCTTAGAATGTCCCTAATAATATGTCATACAGGAACAATCCTTCCAATCAGCAAGACAATTATAGGGAGCAACCTTCAATCCAACCATCCACCTAACCTAATATCCCACCTCCCATTCAACAACCCACTCTAGTGCCCAGTTCACTAGAATCAATGATGGCTCAAATGCTACAAACCATGCAAGAACAAAAAGTCGACATGAATGCTAGGTTCCAAGATTTAGAGCAGAATACCTAACTACTACATTCTCATTCCCAATCCATTAGTAAGCTAGAGACCTAGATTGGTCAAATAGCCAAGGTAACCTAGTGGTTCTTCTCGACAAAGAGGGTATTCCTAACAAGCTAAGGTCGTGATGACTCTTTGGAGCAACCGAGAGGGAAGTAGAAGTCTATGGTAGAGAAGACGAAAGTCTACGTGGGGACCAACCCAAAGAGGGTGAAAGTGAGCCACTTGTAGAGTCAAGTGTTCAGAGACCAGGTAAGGAGAAAGTTGGGGAGAATGAACTACCCCTTGCATCATGCATTGCGAGAGCACATTTTCCTTAGTGCTTAAAGCCCCCAAATGTTCCCATTGCTAGGAAAAGCGTTGGAATGGAGGAAATGGCTGAGTTGTTTAAGCAGGTAAAAATTAACATTCCACTTTTAGATGTCATTAAGCCAGTACTTGCTTATGCCAAATTCCTCAAAGACTTGTGCATGCAAAAGAGGCGAATGAAACCTTACACACCCAAGACTATACATTTACCGAAAAATGTAAGTGCAGTTGTCTGAAATCGCCTCCCTCGAAGTTAAGGGATCCTGGAGCTCCTATTATTTCATGTGTGATAGGTAATGTCATGATTGATAAATCACTCTTAGATTTAGGGGTGAGCGTGAACTTATTACCTACTTATGTGTATGAACAGTTTAACTTAGGTGAGCTTAAGTTTACTGAAGTCATCTATAGTTAACTAACCGATTGGTCAAAATGCCTAAGGGCCTAATTGAGGACGTGTTAGTTAAGGATGAGGAACTATATTTTTTGGTGGATTTTCTTGTCTTAGACATGGAGTGTACCAGCAGTAATCCATTGATTTTTTTAGGAGACCTTTTCTAGCAACGACAAATACTTGTATTAACTATGGACCAGGAGAGATGGAAGTGTCTTTTGGGAATAGGAAACTGAGACTTAATGTGTTTAATGTTGGTTTAGAGCTGATGCATAAGGACGATAATGAGTATTTCATGCTTGATGCTATTGACAGTCTAATGGAGGCTCATGTCCCACAACTGTTATATGATGATGTGATTTACACTCTTATGAATCTGTCTATTGAGGAGATATGTAACTTGAGTGTTGTGTTTAAAATTCAGGAGGTTAGTGAATATAGAGATAGGTCACCCACTCTAGAACGTAGACCTTGAACCATCATGCACTAACCTTTACCACATTTTTCTAAGACAACACAGTCGATGTCAATTGAGTCTTCACTAGTGTTAGAGTTGAAGGCCTTACCTAATACTCTCAAGTATGTTTTCCTAAGACCCAACAAGGTCTTACCCGTGATCATTGCCGCCAACTTAGATAGTGAGTAGGAGAAGAGATTAGTAGCGGTCTTGACAGAACATAAGGAAGCAATCGATTGGTTGGTAGCCGATTTGCGAGAGATTAGCCTTTTTTTTGTGCATGCAGTGCATATTTTATGAAGGGAATGCTAAACCGGTGCATGAATCTTAAAGAAGGTTAAATCGAACATGAAGAAGGTGGTGAAGAAAGAGGTGATCAAATGGCTTGATGTGGGTATCATTTACCCCATATCTGACAATCAATGGGTAAGTTCGACCCATGTTATACTTAAGAAAAGTGGTCTCGCCGTTGTTAAAAATGAAAAAGGTGAGCGAATTCCTACCCGTACTCCTACTAGATAGAGAGTTTGCATTGATTATAGGAACCTCAATCTAATTGTTGGGAATGATCATTTTCCATCCCTATTTATGGACCAAATCCTAGAAAAACTTACAAGGTAGGCTGTCTATTATTTTTTGAATGGCTATTTCAGATATAACCAAGTACCATTTGCCCCTAAAGACCAGGAAAAGACCATGTTCACATGTTTTTTTGGTACATTTGCCTTTCGTCACATGCCTTTTAAGTTATGCAATGCACTAGCAACGTTTTAAAGGTGCATGTTATTGATATTTTCTGATATGGTGGGTCAATTCCTTGAAGTCTTCATGGATGATTTTTCTGTATTTGGTACGTCTTTTGATGATTGTCTCGAAAAACTTGAGTTGGTGTTAAAACGTTGCAAAGAGACAAATCTTGTTCTTAGTTGGGAGAAAAGTCATTTCATGGTTCAAGAAGGAATTGTCTTAGGTCGTGAGGTTTCCATGAAGGGGATTACAATGGATAAGGCAAAGGTGGAGTTGATTTCTCAACTGCCACCGCCTTTGTCGGTCAAATAAATTAGATCTTTCCTAGGCCATGCAGGATTTTATTGATAATCCATCCAGAATTTTAGCAAGATCTCTAAGCCTTTGTATGATTTGTTTGCTAAAGATGTGCAATTTGTTTTTGATGATTCTTGTATGACTGCCTTTACCATTTTGAAAGAAGCATTAACCACAAAACCCATCATGCAACCTCCTAATTAAAATCTACCTTTTGAAGTGATGTGTGTCGTATCGAACTATGCCATTGGTGTAGTCTTTGACCAATGGGTGAATAAAAAGCTTGTTGTGATCTACTACGTAAGCAAGACCCTCTCCGATGCTCAATACAGTTGCATCACTACCGAGAAAGAGTTACTTGCAGTAGTGTTCTCCCTTGATAAACTCCTGTCTTATTTGCTTGGATCTAGGATAGTTGTCTTTACAGACCACGTTGCAGTTAGGTATTTGTTAGACAAGAAAGACACTAAGCCTAGACTAATTCGATAGATTTTGTTGTTGCAAGAGTTTGATCTATAAATTAAAGATAAAAAGGGTAGTGATAATATGATTGCTAACCACTTGTCTAGACTTGTTACAGAGTATGTCCTCCATCAAAGTTTAAATGACTTCTTCCCTGATGAGCAATTAAAGTATGTCCCAAGTCAAAGTTTGAATGACTTCTTCCATAATGAGCAATTATTTGCTATATCCCAATCCAAAACACCTTGGTATGCCTATATAGTTATTTGGTTGTAGGACAATAACCATTAGGGTGGGCCAAAACTTAGAAAGATCATTTCTTTCCAACCATCAAGCATTATTATTGGGAAGACTTGAACCTTTACAGGGTGTGTGCAGACTAAATTGTTAGGAGATGTGTTCTCGACCACGAGTTTAGTAGTGTACTTGCATTTTGTTAGTCTTATGCTTGTGGTGGTCATTACAGTGGCAAGATGGCCGCTTTAAAGTTCCTCCAGTGTGGTTTTTATTGGCCTAGTATTTTTCGCAATGCATTGCTTGTATTTCATGTCAGAAAGTAGGAAATATTGGTAGACGAGATATGATGACCCTTAATCCTATTTTGGTTATGGAAGTGTTTGATGTGTAGGGTATTAATTTCATGGGTCTATTTCTCTCATCTTTTGGCTTTGAATATATCTTGCTTATAGTGGATTATGTGTCTAAATGGGTAGAAGCCATTGCCACTAGGACCAATGATCATAAGGTGGTCGTCAACTTTGTTCAATTGCACATGTTTAGTCATTTCAGTTACTCGTATGCCATCATCAACGATGGTGGTTCGCATTTCACCAATAGGCAATTTGGCTCACTATTGAGAAAGTACTCAATCACCTATAAAGTTGTCATACCTTATCACCCTCAAACTAGTGGACAAGTGGAACGTGCTAACAGGGAAATTAAGACTATCTTAAAGAAAATTGTACAATTCGATCATAAGGATTGGTTGATGCGTCTGAATGAAGCACTTTGAGCCTATCAAACTGGTTATTATTCCCTTATTGACATGTCCTCTTATCGGTTAGTTTTTGGAAAAGCATGTCATTTACCTGTAGAACTTGAAGATTGAGCATATTGGGCCACAAGGAAATTCAATTTTGATATAACCATGGCCGGTGAACATAGAAAACTTCATTTTTCGGAGTTGGGTGATCTAAGACACAAAACTTATGAGAACTCTCGCATCTCTAAAGAAAGGGCTAAGGTTTTTCATGATAAACAAAAAGTGTTAGGAAGTCATTCTCTCTTAATCAAAAAGTGTGGCTCTTTAACTCTAAGCTTCGTCTCTTTCTGGGCAAGCTTAAGTCACGATGGGATGATTCTTTTATTGTTGTTAATGTTTTCCATCACGGATTTGTTGAAATCCAAAACCCAAAAAGGGGACTAGTTTTTAAGGTGAATGACTAAAGACTTAAACCTTATGTTGATGGCATCAATGATGGAGAGGTGATTGAGGAGTGTTCCTTGTTAGATTCACATTAGCCATTTAAGTGTACTAAGTCTAGTTGAAGACTTTAAACTTAGTGCTTGTGGGAGGCAACCCACCTTTGTAAATATGTTTTTTTTTGCTTTGATGTTTTTGTCTTTGCAGGAATTGTCATGTTTGGAAACTCATTAACTAGTCAAAGGCTACGCCTAAGCATGCTCCACATACTCCGTTGGAGACAACCCTACCATTGTTCCTCAAGTTGTATCTCTCCACCTTATATGCTATTATTATTAGATATTTTCTCAAATATGTTGGATGATTTTAATGTTATTGATCATATTTTAATTTGAGATTATTTGATGCTAAGTTAGGGAGGATGATATGTCTTGTGAGTCATTAAGGACAATGACATTTAAAGTTGGGGAGTGTTGATAGATTTTTGATTTTATGGAGTATGTATGTTTTTGATTGAAGTGTTGTTGATCATATTTTTGTGGAGATTGTTTTGATGATGTGTTTTGTCATGGAGAATGCATGCTTTTATGATGGTTGTGTGATTGAATGGATTATGCTTAAATTTTGTCGCATGTTTATGTTATTGTTGAAAATATGTTGATTCCTACTCTTGTAAGTTCAAAAGTGGTAAAAGTGAAATAAAGTGAGCATTTTTATTTTTATTTTTCGTGAATTCATATATAATCACCATTTTAGAAGCAGCTAAGGTGATAGTTGGAAGGTTTTTTTGAGGTTTTTGAAAATGGTTGGTTGCAACATGGTTTTAAACATTGAACTATTATTTTTGTTATGTGCTAAGTTTGTCCATAATTGTGGTTAGACATCGTTTTGTGTGAATGACATGTGCTTTAATGTTTATGCAAGTCTCCCATATACGTTATATGCCCATGGAGGAAATTTTCATTTATTATCTTGCATGTGCTAAAAATGCTAATCTTTGTCTTTGGAAGTGCTTAAATGTTGCTTGATGATTTGGTTTTGATTTGTATCATAGTTGACTTGAGTAAGTATACCCAAGGGGTGTTCTACACCTAATCCCCTAAAGCTATCTAGCTTGGGAGTGGTTGGCCTAGAGCTCGTTACACAGGTCCTCTAGAAAGCTTAATAAATCATTACATAGATCAAGGGCTGTGTATATATATAGTCTTGACTTGTGGCCTAGTTGGTTCGGGTGAGTAAGTTCGAGGAGTGTTCTACACTTAGTGCCTTATAGCTGTCTAGTTTGGGAGTCATTGACCTAAAGCCCGCTACACGAACCTTCTAGAAAGCTTAAGAAACTAAGGCAAAGAAAAAAAAAAAAAAAAAAAAAAAAAAAAAAAAAAAAAAAAGGAAATCAAGTGATAAATGAAAAAGAAATTATATGTCAAAATCTTGTGTGGAAAATGAGTATTATGTTGCATGTACATAAGTTGGGGATTTTTGCATGACACTTTGGCATCATGATATGAACATTAGATGTGTGTTTGAGGAGCTTGAATGGAGATAGGCAAATCTTTATTTAGGATTGTGTTGTTTACTTGTTATGTTCAAATTCTTCACTTTACCTTTTGATGAATGTCTTGAGTGTCGATGAATATGGTTGTGTATGGTTTGGTAAGAATATTGAAAAAGTTTCTTTTACTACTCGAGGACGAGCAAAGAGTAAGTTGAAGAGTGTGTTAGAGTCATGAAAGTGACTCTATTTTAATGATAAAAAGACCCTGTGTGTAATTAAATTGAAGTTATATTGAGACAATTGAAGAAATTATGGAATTATTAATGGAAAATCAAATTTTAATTTTTTTCTTACAATTTGTGCATGTTTGGAATGATTTTTGAGATGTTGTGAGTTGATATTAGATTGTGATTTATTAATTAAGTTTGAATTTGTCTCATTTATTCTGTACAGGGGGTAAATTGTCATATTTTTGGGGGTTGATTTTGTCAGTTTTCATTCATGTAAGGATTGACCTAAAATTTGCCTAGACTTAGTATAAAAGAAGATGAATAGTTCCAGAATACAAAGCGCTGCTCACCCCAAACCCCAGCTCCATCGTTGGCGACCCTTATCCTCCCATTTTCGGTGACTCCCCAACTTCCCCTTGCACCGATCTCCACCATCCATCACTCCCCATTTTTGCGGCAGAAATGAGCAAGATTGCGGCTAGAAAATGAAGAGGCGCGGCAGCAATTTGGCAGATTTCGGCAGTTTTTGCTGAGCTGAAGCTTAGAATGGGTAGATCCGACCGTGTGGAAGGAAGTTCAACCACCAGGGAGTTGAAACGTCGTCGAAAATTGGAGAAATAACGGCTGGAAGATGAAGAGTCGCGACAGTAGAATGCGAAATGTCGCGGTGGTGATGGCGGCTGATAAAGATCGATGCACGGGGAAAATGGCTCATCGTCGGAGGCCGCCAAAGAAGAAGACGAGGAGTAATCGAAAAAGATGGATGAACAGCTCCCCCTGTACGCGACCTTTCGTTTTCATTTTATAGACAAATTGCAAAATATCACTTTGGTCCCTATACAATTAAAAAGTGACAAAATCAACCCTTGTAAATATGACAGTTTACCCCCTAAACAGCATAAATGAGATACAATCACCCCTAATCCATAAACCACAACCTAATATCAACTCATATCCTTTCCAAAATCATTCTAAACATGTTAAATTCATAAGAAAAATATTAAGAAGCGATTTTCGTGAATAAATTCATAAATTCTTTAATTGTCTAAATATACTTCAATTTAATCACACTTGGGGTATTTTTATCACCAAAATAGAGTCACTTTCATGACTCCAATAGGTTCATCTACCCAAGAGTTGATCCACCTTCCCCAAGGTCTGATCTATCCTTTCCAAGCTTCAGTTGCCACCAAACTTGTCAAAATCACGTTGCCTCCACCATGCATCTTCAACTTCCTAGCATGTTTTCGCTCCCTTTTCCAATGACGTTGCACCTCCCTAGCTACCAATCCTCACTCCCCAACTTGAGAGCTTTCTCCCCATACCCTCGGATCTCTATTCAGCCACCGCTCGTCGAGAACAACCGCTAAACACTAATGTTTTCTAGCGAGTTGTGCCCCTCCATCTTTCGGGTGCTTTTGTCATCGTCTCTAGCAATGAAGCACACCATCTCATTGTCGGTTACGTCTTCTTTGCCATGACCTACCCCATTTTTTACCTTTCAACCTTTGTCGACCTCCTGGTTATCTGTTATGGTGTAGATGAGATCGAGATCGATACCCACGACTCTTCTCAACAGCTCTCGACTAGTTGGATGAACTCGATCGTTGGACATTTGGTTTAGTATTGTGTATCAAATTATATTTGTTTTTGTTTCATATTTGATTACGATACTTTAATGTAGTTTGATGCATGATTTGTGATTATTGGTGTTATCCATTGAGATTGGTTGTTGATATAAAACCTATTGCATGATAAATGTTGGTTTGAGATAATTAAATGTTGAGTATTGCTTTAAATTACTTCACATTTGTAATCGAGTTATATTCGCATTTAACGCCATTTCTATTTGTGTTGCATTGATTATGTAGTTGGTTGAATGGATGATAAGTGTAGATAAATTGTATTTGTTAATCGCGTACTAACTAGTGGTATTGTCTTGTAGTGTTTGTTGGTATTCAATGATAGTCTTTAACCAATCGAACTTGAGTGATTAGGTGAGATAGGATAGGTTATACCTAGAGTGTCAAAAAGAGATTTCATTGGTCTACCTTGCCTTGTAGGTTCAGGGGATCGTAAAGTGTGGAGGAGAATTGTGTGAGTTGGTCTCCTGTTGAACCAAAATCGTAGCGGTAGCGTTTTTATTATAAAGTCTTAATTCATTTTAATTTCAAGCTTTTATTATTTGCATTTAGCTTTAACCAATCAGTTTGCTATCTTACATTTGTTGACTCAAATAAGTAGGTTAGCCTTTGTTTCCTATGGATTCGACCTTGCTTACTGCTAACTACTGTAATTAGGATTAATTTTACGACTGTAACAACCAGTTTGACAATTGTACATGGATGACTTCAGTATGTCTAATGAAATCCAAAGGGGAGGTTAATTTGTTCTTTCAAAGATTTCACAAAATGGTTCATATGCAGTATAATGCACAAGTTCAGGTCCTCCAAAGTGACAATGCAAAAGAATAACAAAGCTTAGATCTTCAGTCATATTTGGAAACACATGGTATCATTTATCAAACTACTTGTCCCAACAAACCCCAATAAAGTGGTTTTGTTGAGCAGAAAAATCGGAACTTATTGGAGGTTGTTCGTGCCTCATTAATAGAAGATCACATGTCGTTATCTTTTCAAGGAAAAGCACTCACTTCGATAGCCTACCTAATCAATCGAGTACCCTCTAGTTCTATTGAGTTTCAGACACCTTTTCAAGCTCTTAGTAAAGTAGTGAATGCTCCACTGGTCACAAACTTATCGCCTCATGTTTTTGGTTGTGTCGACTTTGTTCACATCCATAAACATCAATGCAACAAGTTGTCCCCTCGTGCATTGAAATGTGTTTTCATTGGGTATGGTGTT